AGAGCTCTCCCCCCCCCCAATGTTTCTTAATGCAAGAAGCTTTTTGCGAGTAAAGTTTTACGCCCCACCTACTTACTCTTTTCAGTGTTGGGGTAAGTTATAATTAACATGCCTTGGGTTAATATCCAGATTGCGTTTTAAACAGGCTTTCTGTTGAAAACATCAGAAGCTTTGAAAATTAATCCAATTTAAATAACAACAAAAAAAATCTGGTTCTCTTTAATTCATTATGAAACCCTGAAATGCACTTAATCATATTAACCTTCCTAAGAGACTACTTATTAATCAAACTGTAAGGCCAAGATAAGAGTTTCTACATAATAGTCAATTGTTCTGATGTTCTCCTGTAAGTAACTTCAGACAGCTTGTTTCTCTACAACAGGGTTTCTTTTTTTCTCTTTGTAACAATTTGTTAATGTAATATGAAGATTATTATGTCCACTCTCTGAAAAATGTGACTTTCTGTTCATGTTTGAACTTGATTTCCCATAATAGTGTGGGGGGAATAGCTAGCGTGTGTGCAATTTTTCAAGATTATTGCTTTCACACACACTAAATAACCCACTTTCAGTCCACTTTCATAGAATCATAGAGTTGGAAGGGACCTCCTGCACAATGCAGGAAATTCACAAATACCTTTCACCCCACACACCCACAGCGACCCCTGCTCCATGCCCAGAAGATGGCAAAAAAAAAAAACCCCTCCAGGATCCCCAGCCAAACTGGCCAGGAGAAAAATTGCTTCCTGACCCCAGTTGCAACTGGATTTCACTGTGCGAAATGGCAAAACCCACTTGCAAAGGGTCGCTGAAGTGGATTGGAACTGCATTATTTAGTGTGTCTGAAAGCGCCCTATTACCTGGGCAGAACTCTGACTTTGCAGGAACCCCACAGTATGTGCTAGCCATAATTTGTCTGCGTTTCCAGCAGAAAGTTGTGCAAAATGGTCTCTGTTCCACTGGCTTCCTTTAACCAAGGTTTGGCACAATGTCTGATTTGACCTATGTCAAACAAGCTGTGGGTGCTTGGAAGCCGTGCAGACAGCTGGGGGTTGTGGTGGCTCACCTGATCAGTAACGAGAGGACCTCTGGATGTCGTGTAGTCACATTGAGATGCTTGTCTCCCCTTCGTCAGCTGCGTCCTGCCCTAGTTCAGGCAAAGCCATTCCAAGGCACGGTGCTTATGAGATGGAGTACGTGTCGTAAGAGCTCTTAAGGATCCATGACACTCTTGGGCAGAGAGTTTGGCCACCACTGCCACCACAGCTGAAGAGGAAACAGATACCCTTTCGTGCTCAACTTGCGTGGTTCTGTAATTCTCCTTGCCCAAATTATAGTTTGCAACAACTTGAAATGTTTTGGTGACTCCGTTAGTGTGGCCAGGAGGGCTAAAGTTGTAGAAGCGGAACTTTACACGGCTGGTGGGATCTTGCCAGCTTGATATAGTGGTTAGGAGTGCGGACTCTAATATGGGAGAACTGGGTTTGATTCCTCAGTTCTCCACATGCAGCTGCTGGTGTGACTTTGGGTCAGTCACATGTTCTTTCAGAGCTGTTCTCTCAAGAGGTCTCCCAGCGCCACCTACCTCCCAGGGTGTCTGTTGTGGGGAGGGGAAGGGAAAGGAGACCGTAAGCCGCTCTGAGACTCCTTCGGGTAGTGAAGGGCGGGGTATAAATCCAATCTCTTCTTCTTGCTGGTGAGGAACATCAGCCACATGTTGGAGTGTGGCGTGCGCCCAGTGTTGTTAAGGGTATTAGTATCCAGTTGATAGGCTCAGGAGAGGTCGCCGTGTTGGCCTGAAGCAGCAGAACAAAGTTTGAGTCCGGTGGCACCTTGAAGACGAACGAAGTTTTATTCAAAGGGATAAGCTTTTGCGTGCACGCACACTTCTTCCGAAGTGTCTTAAAAGGTGCCACTGGACTCAAACAGTATCCAGTTGAGTTTGAGAACAAGTCTCACTGTAATCGTGAGATATGCTTTTGATTAAGAAGAAGAAGAGATTGGATTTATACCCCGCCCTTCACTACCCGAAGGAGTCTCAGAGCGGCTTACAAACCCCGTTCCCTTCCCCTCCCCACAACAGACACCCTGCGAGGTAGGCGGGGCTGAGAGAGCTCTGACAGAAACTGCTCTTTTTCAAGGACAGCTCTTGTCAGAACTACGGCTTGCCCAAGGTCACCCAGCCAGGTGCAAGTGGAGGAGTGGGGAATCAAACGCGGTTCTCCCAGATTAGAGAAGAAGAACAGATTGGATTTATACCCCACCCTTCACTACCTGAAGGAGTCTCAGAGTGGCTTACAAATTCCTTCCCCTTCCCCTCCCCACAACAGACACCCTTTGAGGTAGGCGGGGCTGAGAGAGCTCTGACAGAAACTGCTCTTTTCCAAGAACAGCTGTGCCAGAACTATGGCTTGCCCAAGGTCATCCAGCAGGTGCAAGTGGAGGAGTGGGGAATCAAACCCAGTTCTCCCAGATTAGAGTCCGCGCAGATTGGGCCTTCATCGGCTGGGGTACCTAACCTTCCTGAGCCTTCATCCACAGAGAAGTTCAGGTTTTTTCCCATTTAATTTTTTATTAAATTTTAAAAGAAGTTCAGGTTTTTGATGCCGCGACTAGATCGGAATCGGAAGAAGATTGAAAGCTAGTAGATTTGTGGCATCCAGAGGTGTGCGCGTGGTTTGGCCTTGCCAGCATACCCTGGTTTTCTAATAAAGTCCCGTTTAATAGCAAGCCGTACCGATGGGCGCCACGCGTGGGACTTGACTTGATGAAATTGACAGCTGGGTGTTTTAAACAGGATACAGGCTGAGAAGTGGAGCGTCTCGGTTCCCTGACCTGGCTGGCTGGGCTTCTGGGTTCTCCCGCAGGCGGATGGATGCCGCTCCGTCTAGGGATATGGCAGACGCAATGGCGTTTAGTCAATTCAGCAGATATTTCAGAGAGCCCATCTGCATTCTGGCTTGACAATGAATCACAGCGGCCGGTGTGAAAGGTCACGTTTGCAGAAAGCTTTGACCAGATTTATCATGCTTGCGACAACAGCCTCTATGGAGGCAGCCGGATTGTTTTTCTATGCTGCAGTTGAGAGACGTGAGTTAATCTCTGGACGTCATTCCTCTATAGCGGATGTCAGGGTAGGAGGCGTCCGGGTTGGCTTTGCATCCTCAAGTTGGAAGCCTGGCTTTTAAAGCTTTTTGTTGTTCTTTGTGACGAAATGTCGTTTTAACATTGGCTTTCTTTCTCCCTCCACCCTCCCCTTACAGTTAACAAGCACAAACCGTGGATCGAGACGACTTACCATGGCATAGTTACTGAAAACGACAACACAGTCCTGTTGGACCCTCCGTTAATAGCGCTGGACAAGGATGCGCCGCTCCGTTTCGCAGGTAAGTGCGTCCGTGCGTTCGTTTGCAAATGGCAACGTTCTTGTTCTTGATTTGTGGCCTAGAAGGATCTCTCGCCAGGTGGGATAGCGCTTGTCTTGGAACAGCGATGTTGGTGTGATGATCAAGTGCCAGAATTAGAAAAGGGTTCAAGCACAGCTATGGAGGGGCCCGTCTGGACATCTGGGGCAGACCAATATCTGTTGCCTGTCCTTTAGGAGGAGCAGGCGATAGACTCACCTGATTGTCATGAACACAAGTGTCCTGCCAGGGCATTAGGGCACGGTTGATGTTCAAAATTGTTGGCAAGATGGGGTAATAACAAAAGCAGTGGTAGGAATGAAAATTTTCACCTGGAGTACGAGGACTTTGTTCAAGGCCATTCAGAAGTAGAAAGTTCTCCCTTTCTCACAATACAAGAACTCTGTGGGCACTCAATGAAATTGCTGAGCAGTTGGGCTAGAACTGATAAAAAGAAGTCCTTCTTCACCCAAAGAGTGATGAACACATGGAATTCACTGCCACAGGAGGTGGCGGCGGCTACAAACATAGACGGCTTCAAGAGGGAATTATATAAGCATATGGAGCAGAGGTCCATCAGTGGCTCTTAGCCACAAGGCATGGATAGGAACTCTCTGTCTGGGGCAAGGGATGCTCTGTCTTCTTGGTGCTGGGGGGGGGGGCAACAGTGGGAGGGCTTCTAGTGTCCTGGCCCCACTGGCAGACCTCCTGATGGCACCTGGTCTTTTTTGGCCACTGTGTGACAGAGTGTTGGACTGGATGGGCCATTGGCCTGATCCAATATTGGCTTCTCTTACGTTCTTATGTTCTTAAGCAGCATTTGAGGTCTAGACTTCATCACAGTGCCTCTTTGTCAAATTTAATGGAAGCATTTAATAACAGGAGAGGGCATCTCACTTTCCCTCCCTTGATCCAAGTTTGGGTGTCATGTATCAGGGCAGGTGTTATACTGGAAGGGAGTGGGGGTGCCATATGTAACTCAGCCAATTCAGTGGATTTGCTTAAAGCCGTAGGTCACGGCCCACAGTACGCAGTTATTACCAGTATGCTGAAAAGTCGGGAAGGTTATCACATGAAAGAACTGAAGCAAGCGTGGGGCGGGGCGGGGCACCAGTACTGAATACGATTGGCAAAGGAGACTGTCTGTCTTATCTGTTGTAGAAAGGAATGTGGGTATCAAACTGCAACGTACTGGGTAGGTTTTTAACTTTCTGGAGCAAACAGTTTTAAACCTGAACCGTTCAACAAGCTGCCATAAGGAGTTTCGAAAGGGCAAGATGGACCAATGTCTGTTAGGGGTATATGAAGGAAAAGGGTGCCCCGTATCCAGGGAAAAGGCGCTGGGCTGCATCACTACTTACAGGCCGCCCTGAGCCTGCCTCGGCAGGGAGGGTGGGGTATAAATAAAATAAAATAAACCGTGGAGTCTTGTGAGCAAAAATCCTACTTTGTGGGCTACTGGCATTAAAGCTGTGAGCGAGCAGTTTGGCTACTGCATAAATCAGTTTGCTCCGGAGCCCTCCTTCCTGAGCAAAGACAAAAATGTCTGAGCCGGAGGCTAAAAAACTGCAAGCTAGCTCACACTGACTCAGCTTAGAGGGAACACCGCTTACAGGGCATCTTAAAACTTCCCCGCTGTGCATAGTCTGTCTGCTCCTGTTGTGTTTTGCGGGGTCTGTACCAACATCTGCTACATTCAGCAGAGGGATAAAACCGTCCCGCAGGTTGTCTCTTTGATCAGTCTGGCCTAAGGAGATTACGTGGGGGGGACCCGCTTGGTGTCGAGTCTCTTCATTACCGTTAATGTAAGCTTTTAATTAGCGGCCTGTCTACATGAAACCTTTTTGCAAGGCCAAGTCCTTGAGTTGTTTTTCCAGCTTGGGGTATTAGACGTGGACTGAAATGTTGGGGGACGAGTTCTTTGCATTCTGTTCTTGCCTCTACAATATCTGCCGCCCAGGAGGCCGCGTGGGTAGAAGAGGTCGCAGCCACGTAGGTTTGCTGTAGCGCTCGGAGAAGAACACGTCGGTTTTGGTTAGCATTCGGTTTCTCGCGGCTTCTGAAACGTGCGTGGTGGTAACTGTTCACCATCTGATTTTGTTTAAAGTTTGTCTTCCTGTGGGATTTTGCACTTTCTGCTTTGGATAAAGGAGTGAGGAGCTGCTCCATTGCTTAGTGCTAGAGCGTGTAATTACGGTGCAGAAGGTCCCAAGTTCAATCCCCGGCATCTCCAGGTTAAAGATTCCCTAGTAGTGGCTTAGAGGTTAAGATGCTGAGCTACAGACCGGGAGGTCTGTAGTTCGACAGTTCGAGACCCTGATGCCGCGGGACGGAGTGAGCTCCCGTCTCTGGCCCCAGCTCCTGCCAACCTAGCAGTTCGAAAACTGTTAAAAAAATGACTCTTATCTTATTCTGTATTTAACTACAGCTGCTAGTATATTGTATGCTAAACATTGGAGATTAACAGAGACACCTTCGAGACCAGAAACTTTAAACAAAATTTTAGAAACGGTGGAGATGGACAAACTAACTCTAATTCTGAAAGGACAACCAGAGACTGTATTTGAGAATACACGGTCAAGATTCTAGCAACGGCTTGCAGATTATTCCAAGTAATCAACGGAGTCATCTAAACTTTATCAAGGATCTTTATTTTATAAATATGATTTATTTGCAATCGACATAGTTATTGTTTACAAGGTGAATTATACAGATTTATGATAAATTAGGCATCAAAATGTTATTGAAGAACTGAAATTGAATTTCCCCCCCCGTTCGAAAACTGTTAAAAAATGACTCTTATCTTATTCTGTATTTAACTACAGCTGCTAGTATATTGTATGCTAAACATTGGAGATTAACAGAGACACCTTCGAGACCAGAAACTTTAAACAAAATTTTAGAAACGGTGGAGATGGACAAACTAACTCTAATTCTGAAAGGACAACCAGAGACTGTATTTGAGAATACACGGTCAAGATTCTAGCAACGGCTTGCAGATTATTCCAAGTAATCAACGGAGTCATCTAAACTTTATCAAGGATCTTTATTTTATAAATATGATTTATTTGCAAGCGACATAGTTATTGTTTACAAGGTGAATTATACAGATTTATGATAAATTAGGCATCAAAATGTTATTGAAGAACTGAAATTGAATTTCCCCCCTTCATGTTTGTTTTGTATGTTGAAAATAAAAAAGCATTTTTTTTAAAAAAAACAAGAAATTGCTTCAGTGGGAAGTCAACAGCGTTCTGTGCGCCTCGGCGTTTAGTCATGCTGGCCACATGATCACGGAAATGTCTTCGGACAGCGCTGGCTCTTCGGCTTGGAAACGGGGATGAGCCCTGGATTCGACTAGCTTTTGAGCAAGGAAAACCTTTACCTAATAGTGCTGGGGAAGAAGGCTGCTGGTGGGCAGAGTGGACCAGGAGTCCCCAATCTGGTGATTGTGGGGGCACCATGGTGCATCTCCAACACATTTCCTGGTGCCCACCAAGAGTTTTGAGAAAGTGGCTTTTGTCCCCGGATTTGCACGGGGCTTGTGTCCCCGTGGGTGGTTTCTGATGCCTGGGCCTCCTCATCGAGCTGCCTGTCCTTGTTGGGCTAAGAGCAGGGCAGGTTGTGTCCCCCTTCTGCCTACCGCCGAGGAGTGTATAATGTGGAGCTTGGCTGCACGAGAGTTCTAAAGGGTGGACCAGGAGGGAAAAAATGGCCGCACTTGAGTCAGCGATACAAGAGGGGCGTTGGCCACGTCTCATCCAATCAGTAGACATAAACAGGCAAGTCCCTGTAAGTAGGTTTGTCGGCCAGTTCTAATCTTGTAACGTGGGCCTCGCCCTGACCTGGATAGCCCAGGCGAGCCTGATCCCGTCAGCTCTCGGAAGCTAAGCAGGGCCGCCCCTGGCTCCGAAGAGCTCAAAAGAATCCTAGGAGCCGGGCAGTGGCAACCACTTCTGTTTATCTGCCTTCGCCTGGATGGCCCAAGCTAGCCAGATCTCATCAGAACGCGGAAGCTAAGCAGTCTAAGCCCTGGTTAGTGCTTGGATGGGAGATCCCCAAAGAAGTCCAGGATTGCTATGTGGAGGCAGGCAGTGGCGTAAGAACATAAGAGAAGCCAATGTTGGGTCAGGCCAATGGTCCCTCCAGCCCAATACTTTGTCACACAGTGGCCCAAAACACCAGGTGGCAGGCAAACCATCCCTGAACGTCTCTTGCCTTGAAAACCCTACAGGAACGCCATAGGTCAGTGACGGCACTTTCTACCACCAATGTGGACCTCTGTCTAAAAGACAGAAGAAGAACAACCAAAAAAAAGCACATCATTCATACAGAAGACAGGAGGGCCTGGCGGGAGCTGGTCCATGGGGTCGCGAAGAGTCGGACTCGACTGTGCGACTGAACAACAACAACATACAGAAGATTTGGAGGCACCCATATCTTATAGCAAACACGAGCGGGTGGGTCTCCGTGGCTTCAGTCCCGGCATTCCCAGTGTCCTTGGTCTCCGAGGGAGCGCTCTCCATCTGCGGCTGGAGTCCGGGGTGTGGAAGGAACAGTTGGAGGACAGAATCCTTGTCGGAAGACCAGGCAGCCCCTGCATGTTCAGAGAGCGAGAAGCAGCCTTCCTTCTCACGGTGCCAGAGAAGCTGATGCCAGGGCCCCCCTCCCCGCCACCCTGAAATCTGTGCAGTGACTTTCGGCTTGTGTTGAGGAGGGTTCCTCAGTGAGTGGATTTAAATAACAGTGACTCCCCTCCCCAAAGGACGGCTCATCTCTTACTACCGATCTTCCCCTTCCACCGCATCTGGCTGTGCTCTAAGGCATGCCCTTGGTTCCCACAGACCGACCGTGATGCCCAGCAGGTCCAGCAGAAACCCCGTGTGGAAGGCAAGTGTGCCCCAGGATCTCCAACGGCATGCCAAACAGGAAGAATTCCCTGGAGGTAGAAGATTTACAAACTTGTGCTGTGGGTGGTGGTG